TGTATTCAAGTTGGAAGGAAATTAAACCATCCAACTTTATGAGATTGAAGAATAAGTAACAAGATTAAAGAGAAAAAAATTACATACAAAACATGAGTTTCACCAGATCCTGGCAGCATTCGAGATAGAAAATAAGCTAAAAAAACTGAATTTGGTTTTTTTTTTTTTCAGTGGGGGCGGCCACCCCCGCTCGGTTTCTGAGCATGCATGCATTGTAATATAAAAATCCCCGCTCGGTTTCTGAGCATGCATGTAATATAAAAATCCAAATTATATGTATGTATTCATATATATCTCAATCTTTCTTCTATATATATAATCGTTTTGTGTAAGCTGGATATCTACCCAGCATGTAACTTGCTTCAGCTACAACACCTCTATTCTTCTCATTCTCAGGAAAAAAAAAATGTTTAGTCCTGCTGTATATTCTTGATTTTGCAGTGCTTTGATTCCATAAGGATTGTTGTTAAATCTGGGTACAATTCAGAAGCTCGTGTAGCAGCAACCTCATAAAAGCCTTCAAATCATGAATATTCATCCCTGAAATTAGTCGTCGTTGCCTCAACTACTCCAAAAAAGGGAAAAAAAAAAAGTGTTTTCGTTTTGATTTTTGATAAATCGGAAAAGAAGGAAATCAAATGGAGGATTTCGAACCGGGGACGCCAACAACGCCGACGCCTCTTATGCCGTCTCTGAGAGTAGATTCACTGTCGTACGATCGGAAGTCAATGCCGAGATGCAAGTGCTTGCCTTTGAATGCGTCTATTTGGGCTGCACCTCACACATGTCTCACCCACTTCTCTGCACCTGAGATTTCTCTCACTCGCAAGGTTTCACTCTCTCTCTCTCTCACACACACACGCTCTGAGTCACTGAGATTTGAGATCGTTACTCGCATGCACGCACGCACTATTTTCCTTGAATTCGTCAAATAGTAAGAGTCAGTTTGATAGGCAGAAAGGAATTCCAATTCCATGTTAATTGAAAAATAAAAATCCATCAAATTTGGAGGAATTCGTTTTCTATGAAAATAAAGAAAGTGCAGTAAGTGGGTGTACTTTGAAATTCGGTTTCCATTTTCACGTTTCAATCTAACAGTCAAAGTGAATTCTTTTTTTTCGAATAGGACATGTTTTATGAAAATTGATGCAGTCAAGCAGGACCTAAAAATCTCAAATTACTATTTTTCTGGATATCCTTACACGCATGCATGCATGCACGAATTCCAGGAAAATATACTCTCTTTTATGGAAAAGAGAAAAGAATCAATCCAGTCGAGTCTTATTCGAAACTACTTTTTCAGTTAGATAGTAGCATTACTATTACTGTTACTATTACTATTATTGTTCCACTATCTAAGGATCCAACATATATTACCATTAATATATATGGTCACATTGATTTCTTATGCATGTTTGGCAAAGCTTATAAGTGTTTATAAATAGGTCAAACTCTACTCAAATCACACAATTCTTGTGAATCTTCTTGGCGGCACTTAAATCTTTCATGTAAAATTTTTACTTAACTAGCTAGTTTTTCAACTTGTCGACATCAACCATAATCTTAGCATCAATCAACATATCGTGTGCATACAACTAGAAAATTAATGAACCATCACCAAGACTCTTTACTTAAACACAACAATCATACTCATAATTTGATATTCCCAATTCCACCGAACTTCGCAAAAGAAACCCCAAACATCATAAATTTTGGTTCTGATATCAGTTATCGTGCAAACGTCAAATATAAAATTGAAAAGAAGAATAATAAGATCGACATACAATAATTTAAGTGATTCGCTCAAATAATTCACTAACATCGAATAGAATAACATAAGGTTGTTTATATAGAACCATAATTGTCCTTACAACCTAATCAACAAGTAGGAGGCCAGCTTAGAATTTTATTTTAACCCTTGCTTGCAGCATAATGTGGCTGTTCATTACATAAAAGACAGATGAGCAATTGCATAGTTTGGTTATGATGTACTTATATTTTACATACTGGTCTAGTAATTAGGTTGTGGATTGGGAAATTAGGGGATATTATATATGCTTGTGATGTGATTATCAGGAAATACTAAATATAATTTGAATGAAGTTTCTGATGTTTGTGGTGAGTAGTGTAGAGCTTGATATAGAATGGAAAAAGAATCAGGTTGGTCTTTTGGTTTTAGCAGGTTGCAGCAGAGTTTGTGGGAACATTTATTCTGATGTTTGGAGCAACAGCAGGACCAATTGTGAACCAAAAATACGATAGAGCAGAAGGTCTAATAGGGAGTGCAGTATGCTCTGGGCTGGCTGTTATGATAGCCATCTTTTCAACAGGACATCTATCTGGAGCTCATCTTAATCCCTCCGTTACAATTGCTTTTGCTGCTTTTCGTCATTTCCGTTGGATTCATGTCCCGGCTTATATTGCAGCACAGGCTTCTGCATCTATTTGTGCTTGTTTTGCGCTCAAAGGTGTATTCCATCCTTTCTTGTCTGGTGGTGTCACTATTCCTTCTGTCAGTACTGGCCAGGCATTCGCTTTTGAATTCCTCATTACCTTTAATCTGCTGTTTGTTGTAACCGCAGTTGCCACTGATACCCGCGCAGTATGTAATTAATAATCAACAATATCATGGTCTAAATAGAATTAGACTCTAAAAAACATAAAACAAAACAAGATTAATATCTTGCTGATGACAGTTTTTTATCAGGTTGGAGAATTAGCCGGAATAGCAGTCGGAGCTACGGTTATCCTCAACATTCTTGTGGCTGGGTGAGTGTAAATTCCTTCTTGTTGCCCTCTTGTTTTCTGTTGCCATTACTTACTCTTAGATCAACATTATCAGTATATACAAATTTGCTGGCATTTATATAGATTCTGTCCTTGAGATTGTCAAGGATAATTAACATGTTAAGATAAATATATCCATCTATCTATTCTTTGTTGGATATTCTACAAAATTTACTAGAAAGATATTTATGATTTGGCAGGACATCTACTGGTGGTTCAATGAATCCGGTGCGAACTCTGGGGCCAGCAGTTGCAGCAGGAAATTATAAGTCGATATGGATATACATGGTGGCACCTCCACTTGGGGCTCTTGCCGGGGCAGCTATCTATGCGCTTGTGAAGCTTCGAGGAGAGGAAGATGACGAACCTCGACGTCAGCTCAGCAGGGCTAGTTAGCTCACCTTGCGAATGAAAACTCTGTCACTACTGCATATATAATATGTCTAAAAGACGAAAAAAACTCGGTTTGAATAATTGAGGGCCAAGGATGAAGATGATGTTCCTTCTAAACTATGCCCCCAAGGGTTGAATAAATTGTGCTGCTGCTTGTATTCAGATCCTCCCCTGACTTCTTCTAGAGGATGCTGAAATTTGTATATTTGTGTGATATTACAATTTCAAAATGCTCGATTGCTAATTAAGAATAAGAACAAACAAGAATCATCTATATAATCGAGCTTCTCGAGGGTGAAAAGTCTTCTTGAGATTTGAGCCCTTATAAGGAGCTTTTAAGCACTCTCTAACACGCTCGGCTTGGCATGCATTATTTAAGATAAAATGGTATGTTATTGTTAGGTAATACCATTACCATGTCACAAAGAATTATCGATAGGGTCAATATTCAACACACAGATTAGAGTGCACAAGGCCAAAATCGTGTTGGATTTAAGCCAAAAGTGTTTTGTTTTCGATAGGATTTATTGCAATATTTAGCCTTTGTTTGGTACTGATTAAAATTCAAATTTTATTCTAAGTCAAAAGTCGACAATTCATTTTAATCATATTTTATAAGATTCATAATTTTTCAATCACACATTTCATCAACTTTTATCAAAAAGTACTAAAAGTCGAACTTTAATCCCCACCAAATTGGGGCTTAGCAATTTTTTTTTTTTTATCAAATTATAACCACAGTCCCAAAAAGGGACGAGGAGGTTATGAAAACCTGTGGTTGGGGCAGGATAGACATAAACGAAAAACCAGAGGGGCTAAATTGACATTACACCATATTCTTTGCAAGAATTGCGTGGTCTACCTTAGGTAGGAGTTAGAAAAACAAAAGCGCTAATCTTCGTTTTCCTCTGGGCTCGTCGATTACGAAATAATTCCTGCTAAATTCTTCCTCTTCGAGCTTTTGATCTTCGGCGTATATGGATTTCAGATGCTATTTTCCTTTATTTTCCTTTTCTTCTATGTCATCATCCGTCGCCTTGATTCAATTTCATCTGCTATCATCGCCGTCTCAGCCGTTGGATCAATTGTTCACCATTGACGCCTCCTCTACTCCGTTTGATTATTGGATTCGAGGCTCCCGCTTATCCAGTCCCTGATATAACGACTACTACTCAATTCGCCATAGCAAAAAGGTGAGTATTTCATTTTTTTTTTAAATTTCTGTAGTTAAACGATGCTAATATAATGGATGAATAATTTATGTATACTGTTTGTTCTTTCCCTTTCAGCAGGATTTGAGCAAAAAGCAAAATTAAAAAGCGGTGTCCTTTTTTCCTTTTATTTTTAATTACTTTTGGAGTTTGAACATAAATTAAGGATATTCTGACTGCTAATAACTTATTTACTAGAGGAGAAAATTGGGACACGCAGAATCGATTTGTAAGGAATAGTTTGCATCTATTTTTGCGTGAAAAAGAACATGAATAGGGATAGAATTAAAAACAACCCTGGATGGGCAGCATTTGACCTCAAGCATAAAAGGAAGCAGGAGGGTTTAAGCCCTGAAATTGATATAGAGCCGTACCCCATGTTATCTGGACTTGTTTCCAGTGAAAGCTTTTTGAAGAAAGATCAGTTGCTGTTAGAGAGGCCTTTTTCATCTGTCCTCGTCACTTCTGTGAATTTTCCTTCAATTGGTACTTCTAGCAAAGACTTGGGCAAGCACGTACCAGTTACTGATAATTATTTGGGTACTACTCAGAGCAACAATGTTGTCTTTAGAGAAGATGAAAAGGGTAGAAATATTGTTGAGCTTTGTAAGAAGCTTAACAAGCTTCACCCTTGGGCTGATGAAAGCTTGATTAAGGATGTTATGATTGGTGTAAGCAATGATGTTGACAAGGCCTCGACTATACTGGAGGCTATGGTTAGCTCTGAGAACAAGGATATGAAAAACAAGCTAGTTGAGTTGAATCATGAGAATAATATCGCATCCTTGGCTAGTGAAGCCTTCTCTTTTGGAGGGACAACTGATCATCCAGGACCTACCTGGTTTAATGATGTATGCCTTAATGAAATTAGTAAAGCAATGATGGACAATCACACTTTTTTTGAGAAAATGCTTCCTTGTGATGGGAGAAATTCGAACTTTAAACTGGATGCTACCAAGTTCTCACTGCTGGAACCTGAGTGGGAAGAGGATGATTTTTACCTAATCCATCGAAAAGATGCAGTGAAGATGATGAGGTACGAGTTCAATATGTTCTTACTTTTTCTTCGGTATCTTTCGCTTGTACATGACAGAATTAATCTCAAGTATACTGATTTTGTACACCTTATTAACCCTTGTTTTCCTTTCCTTCATTTTATTGTGAGGAATTTATCTAAAACGGACTAAGATGGTGAGTGAAAATGTGCAAAATGGCCATCTTTTAGAGCATTCTTATATGAGGAATCCAAAATATATAACCCAAAAATGCCTTTCCATGGTAAAGGTAGAAAATTCTCATTGTCAACAATTGCTAACACCACACAAAGTTGGAAGAGCGGTAATTTATCTTCACCGGAGGCCTATTCTCATTCTCAGCCTTATGATCAAATTGTAGACAAAAAGAAAAGGATAAAAAAATATATGTGCATGTGCCTCAGTGTGTGGATGAGTATAAACAGAAACTGTCCCTGCATGCATCTTTTTCCAGAAAAGGACACACATTTGGGGAGAATTCTTGCTCAAGACCTCATCTTTTATTTCTATGCTTGATTGGTTTTTGTCTTGAGCTGATATTAGCTGCATATTCAGGTAGTCTTGTTAGTTGGTCCTTGTTACTTGGCCATGTCATCAGTTGCCTTAAGGTCTTCTTTGTTAGAAGCATTGTTTTTAAAAGCTATATGAGGCTTATGTCTTGAGACCTTCGAATGTTATGCCTTTGAGTGGCTTACTCCTCAAGAATAAACCCCAGGGCGGCTGAAGTGTTCCCTTGTTGGTGTTGCATTTTCGGATCCTTTATACTGCAGAACGTTTTATGGGTTCTTTATTTATTTTTCTTCCTTTATATGGAAAGGTTCTGCGTTTACACAGAAGGAAAAGGGGAAGGGGAAGGCATGATAAGTGATTGATAATGGTGAGTGAGATGATATGGGAATCAAGAGCATGTTTGCGTGAGCGCACCTTATAAGCTCACCCAAACATGCTCCAATTACGTTGAGGATTCTGAATTCTATTAGTAGCCATCATGTTTCTACTCCTATTAGTAGATTGCGATTTGTCACGTGACACTAATTTGCTAACTTATCATTTGCTACTTATATTCGTTTGATTTATGATTGTTTGTAAAGTTATACTTTTATTATGGATTTTCTAGATGGTTTTTGGTTTACATGTGTCTTCAGAATTGTCCATTCTTCTGCCTTTCGCTGCCTATTTCAATTTTCACTTGTCATAGTCCACACACTTATGGTGAATATACATGTTAAAGAGCATATATGGACCTTGTATTGCCTTTTGATTAATCAGCATAACCTTCAATCGTTTTTGTAAGTTTAGTTTGTTATTTATGACACCACCAAAGCAAAAGGGCAAAAAATGAAAAAAAGGAAGAAAATAAGAGCAAGAGGAAGTACATAAAACAAGTTTGTCAATAAAAGGAAAACCTTGAGCTCCAAATGTAAAAATGACAGGTCGGCGTATCATCATTTCAAGGTTATGAGCTCTTAGTCTGTTGATTACCTTGTTATGACTTTGTAACTTTCATTATCCCACACAGATCAGCATATCGTCATTCCAAGGCAGCAAATGATGCCTATCATAGAGGAGATCACTTATCTGCCCAACATTTCTCGATGAAAGCCCGTGAAGAATGGAATGCTGCAGAACAGCTTAATGCTAAGGCAGCAAAAGAAATCCTGCGTATCAGGAATTGTGAAAATGATCGGTGGACATTGGATTTGCATGGTCTGCACGCAGCAGAAGCTGTTCAAGCACTGCAGGAACATTTACATAAGGTTGAATCCTTGAAGTCATCAAACTGCTTGGCAACACCTGATGCAGTCCACAAGGAATCAGCCACAGTGCTTTCTGCGTCTATGGAGTCTCTAACTCGTAATGACCTAGAGAAGTTGCGGAAACAGCCATTACTGAAGCAGAGACAAAACCTAGTACAAGTCATAACAGGTAATTTTCGTCATCTGGAAGTGAGGCTCTTTTGGAATAAGAGACTGTTTAACTGAAACCATCATATGCATGTGTCTGGAGAGAGTATAAGTTAACACGAAGTTTGTTTTACTGATTCTGGTGGTATAAAATTTGATAAGAGTATACAAGTGAAATGAATAGTAAAACTAATACATAGAATCAAGTCATGTACTAAGATTGTACACATTGCAAATTTCAAAAATATAAGAAATGACACGAGAAAAGGAAAGTTCAGATTATTGATAACAGTTAAAAGTCCTTTAGAATCATTGAAACTGTTAAGTTAATTGATTTTGAAAAAATAACTTGGTAACTGAAAAGGAACATTAAAATTAGATTCTACATGAACAAATATTGTATCAGAAATTTTGCAACTTTAGTAAGGTTTATAAGAGGAAGTACTTAAAAATGTAAATTTTTCTATGTTCTTGTTTAATAAAGAAGTTCATGGGACTTCACGGTCCTTGATTAGATGATTACTCTGAACGTCATGAAAAAATTATAATACTTAGTTGTCCTCTCAGGGCCATTGAGGTGAATATCCGACCGTAAACCTCAGGCCTCGTGGAATTAGTCGAGGTACGTGTAAGTTGGCCCGGACATCCACGGTTATTAAAAAAAAAAAAAATTATAATACTTAGTTATTTAAATTAAGAAACCAAAAATATAGTGCTTACAAGGGCCACCATTGGTATCATTGCCTGAACAATGCTTAGATGGTTAGATGTGAATCAATAAAATTGTTTTTGAACAATATAGAATACCATGTCTTCAGGTCAAGTGTGACAGAGATACAGATTTGATGTTAAAAGAGTTATTTCATTGTTAGACAAATTTATTAAGTTTACCCTCCCAAATACGCCCACATGCCCACACAAAGAAGGACTTCATACACAGCTCCCCTTTACGTCTGAGGCCAAAATCTGTGTATTGTTTGCTCAAACTTTATTTTTGAGTGAAGTTACAATGCAGTTCCTGATTACTTCTTGCTGGAACATAGAAATATTTTGCTTGTGCTCTCCTTTCTCTTGCTTCTGTTAGTCTATCTCTGTGACAATAAAGACCAACTTCTTGAGTTAGATGTGCATGAGATTCTGTAACACTGATGTGTCAATACTGCCCACAGGAAAAGGTAATAATAGCAAGGGAGCAGCTGCACTTCCACCTGCTGTCAGAAATTTTCTTACAGAGAACGGGTGAAACTAATTCCTTTTTCAATATAATGACAACATAAAGTTCTTAAAGATTTTTACTGAAAATCAGATATGTTTGCAGGTATCATTTTGACGATGCTAGGCCTGGGGTAATTACAGTAGTGCCCAAGTTTCGTCAACAGTGAGCTATAATCACATTTGCAGGAATGAAATAGTTCGCCTCGTCAATATTGTTTTTGGTCACAAACGGTATCATCCGATTGTTGCTCTACTTCTGTCTATGAACCCTACAGATTGTATGGTAACTTTTGAATTGTCTTTCTGATATGGAGAGGTAGTACAATGATATTCAATAATTCGTTTGTTTGATTGTTGAATCGAACGAAAATGTACAGTTTTGTGCAACTGAATTTCTAATTTTGACTGCTGTCAAATAAGAAAAATCAGAGGTCTCGTAGAGCATGCGACTCGAGGGCATTACTTCTGTTATCCAGGTAATAAACTTGGTTTTTCAATTGCTGATTTTAGGAAATTAGTTGTTCAAAAATGTTAGGAAGCTAGTCGAGAAAAAAATCGAGCAAAATGTTTCTTTTCCATTGCAGAAGAAATAAATGAATAAAGTATATTAGTTTTTAAACTGTAACAAATACTTGAAAAAGGCAATGTTAAAGTCTAGAAACAGAATAATCTGTTGCTACGACACCGTCTGCCTTTTAACTATGCTAGACATTTGATACCACGTAGACGGATGCATAACGATAGTGCTGACACATAACATTACTCTTTAAAACAATAATAAAAAATTAATTTTAATTAACCGTTAGTTATATACTTAGGAGAAAATTTTTAGTACTCCAGCAATGCTATTATTGAAATGACTTCTGTGTTAGAGGAGGAAACTATGCGAAAGGAGGGAGGAATGTGGGGTGGCGTGGGGTGAAGAGAGAGAGGTGAACTTAAAATCCACCCGAGGGAGTTGGAAATTCTTACAAATTAACGCCTACAATTATTATATAAATAAAAAAAGAAGCATATTCTCCATGTAAATTTTGTGCACCCTCCTGAGTTGGTTCGTTACTCGAAGAAGTCCTCTTTTCTCCCCCTTATTGTCACCAGCCTGCATGATGGTGTTACATAAATACATTTTCACCATACAGATTTTGTGCACCCTCCAGATTTGGTTCTTTACTTATTGAAGAAGAGCCCTCCTTCCCTCCTTTTCTTCTTTTCACCAGCCTGCATGATGGTGTTACAAATATCTTTAACATAACATAATGCTCAAAACAATTAAAAAAAAAAAAACGATTATCAGTGTAAGCCAATTTGTAGTTTCTGATGAACTAGTTGAGCATCATCAATGTATTGCTTCAAGATACTTGAATTGACACAATAAAATCCATCCCTTTGTATTGTAGTTTACGATAGAGCTAGTTATATCTAATTTTGGGCATTCAAAACTTTTCATGCTTATGGATAAGCACCAGAAGGTGCTTTACACCTAACATCTATTTATCCGTCAAGAGCTACAGTTAACCTCTGACATGCTACAAAAAGTATACACTGCCATGATATACATATAATCAATCACAAGGAATTTTGCTATAAGGTGCTTAGTCAATCTCGTACTGCTATTCCTGGTTAGGGTTTTAATAAAACATTCTTAGTGTACTTGTTAATGAGACATCAATACCTCATCTTTTTAAACCAATAACCAGTAATACTCTCTCACAGCGACAGGTGTGACCACATAAAATGTCGGCCCAACCTTAGGATGAGATGATGATTGAGGAAAACTAGAGGGATTGACTTCAGAACGCCATGGTGCTAGCTGGTACTGAGACTCCTTCAGCTTTGCCTATAATAGTTCAAGGGACAAAATACGATGTAAGAAATGGAAAAATGCATGGATGTCCATCATCACAAAGACAACCTAAATGTAAATCCCTTTGAAGTGCTTTAAATCTCTATAACATACCTCCATAGCAAGAATTTGTTCAAGCAAATGTCTAAACAAAACCTGCAATAAAGGTTCCAAGATAAATCCAATGAATGAGACAATCTAAAGAAACTTCCTCCTCCAGAATATAGACATCTCAATTCCACATAGATTTAGAGTTGACAATGAGCCGAGGCTTGTGCATGCTTGGTGCTTTATTATTTTTAGAAGGCTTAAATCCTGCTCCTTGAGGGAAGCCAGAATTCTTTGTTCAAAAATTCAGCTCATATAAAACATGCAAAGCTTTCATAAGTATCAGCAAGCTATTAAGCTCATGTCTTTGAATATTTACATAAGTATTTCAATATTAAATGTAAAAATCCAAAAGAAGGAAAGAAAAGGTAGCGTTATGATAAGGTAGTGATTTGGTTATTAAGAAGTGCAACAGAATACCAAAGAGGGTCAAGTTCATATAACAAGCTATGGCCCTCATTCCAAAAAAAAAAAAGGAAAGAGAATTTCAAGAGTAAAGTTTTGAAGGAAGTAAAGGATACAGACGCAGATAATAGAATAACATGGAATTATATGACTAGTAGCACTAGAATAATAGCACATGAGGTATTAGGAGAATCTAAGGATAAAAAACCACCAATGAAAAGAATGCTATAGAAACTCACAAAAATATAAAAACGTGGAAGCATCTTAAAAGTGGCTAGTATTACCCTTAACCTTCCATTCTTAGCGTATTTCAGATTTCGAACACTGTAGCACTTTTTTGTCCCCAACCTATTTTCCTTGGTATCATTACACCCTTAATTTCATTAGTGCATTTCAACCTCACGTTCCCTTCGAAAATACCACTAAATTTAATTAAAGAAAAATTTGCCCTTTGATTCAAACAAAAAAATTAAATAAGAAACAAGAGGAAAACCAAAATCATCTTCCCCAAACATTCTTAGCCCTCACTCCCAACCAACCTCAACCCCCACCGCCAACCAACAGCAACCCACCATCGCCACTACCAACTTCTGCAGTCCTTGCTGCCAACCACCAACGGTAGCAACAGTGCTAACAAAAACTGAACTGCGTTTTTATATGAAACATTACAAAAAACTTGTATACACAAAGAAAGAGGAGTATTATAGTAGGTATTAATAATTTTACCTTCTCATCTAGTCTTTGAGTGTTGCAAGATCTTAAGATTTAAAATTGAGATTCGAAGAGACCTTTTAAGTTGGAATTTGTGTACGAGATGCAGAGATAACGACGGAGTTGGAGCTGGGTTTTTGTCTGTGCAATGGAAAGTGCTGTGTGGCCACTACTTGTTTGGGGTATGGGGTTGGTGGTGATAAGTTGGTAACTCATTTTCAATAGAGTTAATGTGAAAATTATTGATCGCGAGTTCAAACAAGATTCATGTGTTCAAACAAGCTTCTTTTTAAAGCCTATTTCACCATATTTTGTTATGGGTCCTTTCTCATAAACTTCTGGTTTTGATTTGATTCAATTTTCATGGCGTATGACTTTCCATGCAAAAACTAAATAGGACCTTAATTGACACAGGAGGAGATTGTATAAACAAGATCACGGGCATGAACAGTTCTTCATCCGCTCTCTACTCCTCGTATCTGACTCCTAGCAGCGACTTTTTTCTTTGTGGCAGTGGGGAATGAAGACAGGAATAGTGCTGAAGATGCAGGAGGTGGGAGGGGCTTCCTTATAAAGAAGGATATTTCTTTTATTTTTCGCATTTTTTTTCTTTTTCCTATGAACTTGTTTGTTTGTTTGAATCACGGGAATTATGTCTTTTCATTAAATTAAAAAAAACACCAGAACTGTGAGTGGGGAAAAACTACACTTTAATAAATGGAAGGTTGAAGGTAATAATGTCAAGTAGAAAAGGAGGGATAAAAGTGCGGCAACAGTAAGGTTGGGGACAAAACGTGCAATTTAGAAAAAGTATAAGTTAGCTAACCAGCAAAATTGACAAGGCATTAAAGGATTCTTATTTTAGGTTCTAAATCAAGCAAACTGTATTAAACAAGAAACAAAAGAGTTCTTTTTAATAGAAAGCACAGAAAAATAGAGGAATTGTTTCGAGGACTTAATGAATGGCATAATGTCGATATCGGAAATTTGTCAAACTTCACTGCAGATACGAATCTGAATTATACTGAAAGGAATTCGAGTTTCAGGGGACGGAGAAGCTTTGAAGAGGATGAAGATGAGGAAAGCAATTGGCTAAGATGGAATTCCTATGGAAATATGGAAGTGTTTGGTTGAGGTGAGCATTACATAGTTTGCAATTCAGAAACCTCAGGTGAATCCCAGTATAAGAAACCCACAAAATGAGAAAAAATAGAATAACACCCAAGTATGCAAAAAGATTTGATCACACAGCCAACGTAATCATTCCTGAATGAGCACAAGGAAATATGTAATTGCAAAATTTGTGATATGAGAAAGGTGCAGAACAAGAAGAGCACATCTAGATATCATTATGCCATAAAAGTTGGACCAATCATTTTTCTGGAAAAATCATTCTAATAAGCTTATTACATTTGGTTAGAAAATATTAGACAAATTCAAGATTTGATGCACAGGAACTACATTGATGTTCTCCATGTATGACCAGTTTTCCAAAATGGATTTGATCAACAAAAGTAATTAGCTTCTAAAATTTTGAGCTAAATATTAGACTTGAAAGTGATTATTAATGATCTTGTATGTTATTATTTGATTTTATTCTTCTGTTGCTCAATTTCAAGCAACCTTATCGCAAATTTCATTAGCTTTCAATATCAAAACATTAATTCTCGTAGACCCACGCTAACAGCTAAAAACCACCAAAACAGTCGGAACAAATTAGAAAGGCTCAAAAGTTACATTTCTGCATGTTCTTTTTGCAGCTACAGAACCATCTAAGAGGAGACAATTCAAGCCATGTTATACTAAAATACGCCGATAGTCCAACCCAAATATTTAAAAAGCGCACAAGTCGTTCTGGTAACCGACAGGGGTGAGGGTCAAGGGTAGCAGTTTAATGCTTCACAATTTGATTAATAAAGAATACTAGAAAAAAAGTGTCATTTATTTCATTATAAGAAACAATTAATAAGGCTACTCATATTAACCTTGACATTACTGACAATGGATTGAGCATGGGCAAGAGGCGGCTGAAGAGAATACTCTGCAAGAAGAGGCATTAAAGATGATACAAACGTTGATCTTTCTTGCTGTGCAGCCTGAAAGAACCAATATATGAACCTGAGAATATATTTGGTCACGTTTATAGAAGGGGAAGGGAGTGGTTAAAGTTTGTCCAATCTAACTAGCCTTACTCTTACACAACACACCATAAAAGTTTTACAATAATTGAATTGTATCCAAAAAAGAACACATTAGATTTAGAAACTTAAAAAGCAAATGTGGGGCCTCTATGCATGCGTTATGTGCTTATGCTTGTTTTTATGTGTATTTACACACGTGCAAATTGCAAGATCTGAACAGTGAACACGAATCTGGAAATTTTGATTTCCAAGTAAACCAAGAAACGTGAATTTAAATTTGTATATATAAATGTAAGATATCCATGTAGCATTAACATTGAAAATCATCCGTTCCTTCCAATGATACTAATACTAAGACGTCACTTGAGTAATCTTAGAAATTACCTGCAAATAATATTACTTTTTCGCTATTACGCGGTAGATCGTTCTTGAATATGTATATTTTCTGGACTGTGCTTATAAGAACTAATAAATTTGGTAGAAATCAATACTCATATAGAATGCCAAAAAACAGAAACTAACTTAGATATTTTAATTTAATGATTTATTAGTTAAAATTGTTTCTTCAATAGCTTAATTATATGAAGTAGTTACTAGAGATCGCGTATGGAGCCCCTTCCCCTAAAATCCAAAACCACTCAACCTTCTCTTACCCAGCCAGTCCCCACCCAACGACCACCTATTCTGGCGGATGCTGCTGACGGCGATCAGTCAGTGGCAAAAAATCCTAACCTTCCCGGCCCCACGCCACATATTTACCCACTACCACAGGCGGCGGCCCTAGGTGGGAACCCTAGCACCGTCGCTCGATCTGGTGCCTGGGCCGTCGCGGGTTCAGGCGACGGTATGAAGAAAACTGGGACCAAAACACAGATCTACCAGCATCCACACACAGATCTGGCTGACGCGCCTCACCGATGCTCCGAGCAGTGCATTCCGACTCCAGTGGGACCACCTCGCGCTGCTCCGGCGGTGCCCTGCCAGAGCGTGTAGCCCACGCGTCGGCGATGGAAATTCAGGAAATCCGGCAGATCATCCCCAGTGTCATTGGCAGGCCCATTTTGTCATCTGATGTTCCGTTTCTTCAAAATCAGAGGAAAAAACGGGTGGATGCATATGGAATGGTATTTAATCGGCGAGTTAGAGTTGAGACAAAGGAGTTTGAGGTGTCTATTAACGAATTAGGTACCGTTAGGATAATAGAGTGGGGATCGAGGATGTCGTCTGCTATCTATATGGGAAGGTTTGGTGCACTATGGATGGTGAATATGGTGGATAAGTTGAGAGCGGCTAGTAAGTCGGAGGATTTTGTCTCTAAGTTTAACGAGTCTACACGGGCTTTTTTGGCACAACGCTGTGCTATCAGCCGTGGTCGGTACTTGACGATAGCACAGTATGGAGGAGGGCTCGGACGGGAGTTGTGATGGTGCCGGAAGGTGTGAATGGTGGGGGATGGGCATTGTTTTCGAGGGTGTTTAAGGCGGTTGTTGATTCATTTGTTGCTGGAGATAAAGCTAAGAGCCGAATGATGGATGCAAGAAATAGACAAGGGACGACTTATGCCGAAGTTACGACCAAATCACAGACATTGCATAAAGATGACCAACGGGGGATAGTGCTAAATGACAAGATGTATAATGTGAGGGAGTTTGACGATCATCTTGGGGTGCCTATGCCGATGGAGTCACATGCAGAAGGTTCACAGGGTGGAACAATGAACAATGTTGAAATAAGGGCCTGAGTCCAAGTGCTGAAAAAAGAGTTGGATGCATTAATCAGGCTAGTGGGTGGTGGGGCTGAGGTGACCCCCAAAATAGTTTTTTGTCAGCAGTGTAGGGTTGGCGTAGATGATTCACTAGATACCGAAAAACAAAAAGTGGGCTTGATTCCTAAGGAGTTGTCACCGTTGGCAGCTCACTTTAAAGACAAGCAGGGAAGGGCTAAGCCTAATTGTGAGTACCAGGCACAAATTGAAGCAGCATACTTCGGGAATGATGAAGGGGTTGAAGTGGTGGAGTTGGATACGGATGAGACAGTTTCGGGGTTCGCAGCAAATCGGAAGGGGGTCTCCTTGTCTAAGGAAGGGGTGCCGAAGATGGCGAATCAGGAGTCGACTACACTGGACGAGATGGACACGAATTTGTTGACAGATGGACTATCCTCAGTAGAGCGAAAGATGGTCCATGCTTTGGTGAAGAAGTCAGATTCGATAGTCTTGGCAGTGTGTGAAACGATGCGTGAGGCAGTTATGGTCGGGAACACATATAACAGAAGGCACGCTAAGTCTCTTAAAGGAAAAGAGTTAGGAACTGAAAAAGATTTGGTATTGTGGGTAAGAGGCGGTCAGAAGGATGGGGCTGACAATTGTGTTGTACATATGGAGGATGTAGAGGGATATTCGTATGACCATTTGGAGTGTTTCCTTGCAGAGGAATCAATGAAGGTGAAGGCGATTGAAGTTGGACCCCAACCTTCAAATTGGGTCCTTCAAAAGATTCAGGAGTTCAGTAGTTTGGTTGGTGTGTCTTGCGATGGATACGAAAGTAGACTCATGCAATTACTTGAGGAACTGGAGGCTAGTAGGGGGCAGGGGATGAGTACACAAGAAGGTAAGGCAAGAAGGAAGGGTGTTCGCGGACTTAAGCGGCTCGAATGGTCAGTAAATTANGTTGCTGGAGATAAAGCTAAGAGCCAAATGATGGATGCAAGAAATAGACAAGGGATGACTTATGCCGAAGTTACGGCCAACTCACAGACATTGCATAAAGATGACCAACGAGGGATAGTGCGAAATGACAAGATGTATAATGTGAGGGAGTTTAACGATCATCTTGGGGTGCCTATGCCGATGGAGTCACATGCAGAAGGTTCATAGGGTGGAACAATGAACAGTGCTGAAATAAGGGCCCGAGTCCAAGTGCTGAAAAAAGAGTTGGATACCTTAATCGGGCTAGTGGGTGGTGGGGCTGAGGTGACCCCCAAAATAGTTTTTTGTCAGTAGTGTAGGGTTGGCGTAGATGATTCCCTAGATACCGAAAAACAAAAAGCGGGCTTGATCTCTAAGGAGTTGTCACCGTTGGCAGCTCACTTTAAAGACAAGCAGGGAGGGGCTAAGCCTAATTGTGAGTATCGAGCAAAATTGAAGCAGCATACTTCGGGAATGATGAAGGGGTTGAAGTGGTGGAGTTGGATACGGATAAGACAATTTCGGGGTTCGCAGCAAATCGGAAGGGGGTCTCCTTGTCTAAGGAAGGGGTGCCGAAGATGGTGAACTTGGAATCGGCTACACTGGACGAGATGGACACGAATTTGTTGACAGATGGACTATCCTCAGTAGAGTGAAAGATGGCCCATGCTTTGGTGAAGAAGTCAGATTCGATAGTCTTGGCAGTGTGAAACGATGCGTGAGGCAGTTATGGTTAGGAACACATATAACAGAAGGCACGCTAAGTCTCTTAAAGGAAAAGAGTTAGGTACTGAAAAAGCTTTGGTGTTGTGGGTAAGAGGCGGTCAGAAGGAGGGGACTGACAATGGTGTTGTACAGGTGGAGGATGTAGAGGGATATTCGTATGACCATTTGGAGTGTTGCCTTGCAGAGGAATCAATGAAGGTGAAGGCGATTGAAGTTGGACCCCAACCTTCAAATTAGGTCCTTCAAAAGGTTCAGGAGTTCAATAGTTTGGTTCGTGTCTTGCGATGGATACGAAAGCAGACTCATGCAATTATTTGAGGAACTGGAGGCTAGTAGGGGGTAGGGGATGACTACACAAGAAGGTAAGGCAAGAAGAAAGGGTGTTCGCGAACTTAAGCGGCTCGAATGGTTAGTAAATTATGATGCCAAGGGTGGCGAGTCAAGGAAAGGATTGCTGGGGAGGGACGACGGAGTGTTAAAATGATCCCAAAACTTATTAGCTGGAATATGAGGGGGCTTAATGAGGTTGGGAAAAGATTAGGTCTTCGAAGTTTGTTAGAGGGGATGGAGGGCGGACCTCGTTTGTTTGCAGGAAACGAAATTGGAGTTCGTATCGAGGGCTGTGGTCAGTAGCTTATGGGGGGGACAGCATGTTGGATATTAGTTTTTGGGGTCTTCGGGGGCATCAGGAGGCATGCTAATCATGTGGGACACTAGAGTATTTGATATGGTGGATACTAGTATAGGTACATACTCGCTGTTGCTGTCGCTGTCGCTTTCGCTTAGAAATATTGGGGATGGATTTCTTTGGATGTTTATAGGAGTTTATGGACCTAATTCTGATGAGAGTAGAAGGGGCTTGTGAGATGAGTTCACTGGTATGATGGCTTGGTGGAATCTTCCAACGTGTATTAGGGGTGATTTTAACGTGGTTCGA